CCGAAAATTTTTCAAATAAAAAATTTATTTTAGCAATAACTTTTGTCATATATTTCGCAACTCAATACCTGTGTAGTACACGGGTATTGTACTACTATATATATATAAGGAAAATTAATTCAATCATGGTAATAATGAATAATTAACTAATATCTAAATATATGATTTATTGTGAGGGAAATTCCATTGTAGGGCTTGACTTTATGTTATTGTGTCACAATAAGGCATGAATTTTTAACTTTTTAATTTGAAGCTTTCAATTTTAAGTTACTCTCAATATAAGACCTAATTTTACATTCTACTTTTCAATTTAAGACTCTAAATCACTTTATATTTTGATATAATTACGTAAATAACAATACTCTTTTATTAGATAGTTTTTTTTTTTTATAAAAAAAAAGTATTGTTATTTACATAATTATATCAAAATATAAAGTAATTTGAAGTTTTAAATTGAAAAGTAGAATGTAAAAGTAGGCCTTATATCTATTAATATACAATATAGAGAAGAAAAATTATTTGAAAAAAATATTTCATTTTGCCGCTTAAAACCTGTTTTTCCCCCTAATATTGTGTTTGAAATTTTTTCGGATTCCGCTTAAATCTATTTTTTGGAACTTTGAATTTTTTCGAAAACTGTTTTTGGATGATATTTCTTCCATATCGGATAAATTTTGTTTTGCATTTCAAAATGAAAATCAAATTTATCTTTGGTTTTGATTGTGGAAAAATTCTGATACACAATTCCTTTGTAACGTTTCCGCTACTTTTTTGGTAAATATTTGATTTACACGGTTTGTTTAAAAACGATCTTGATTTAATACTCAGTTTTTATTTTTGGTTTTGCTTTACGATAAATTCTGATATATGATCCCTTTTTAGTGTTATTGTTGTTTTTATGGTAAAGATCTAATTTACACGATTTGTTTAAAAATCTTATTTTAATATATTCTCTTTGTACCGAGAAACACAATATTTTATCATGTCACTACAAATTATCACATTAACTACAGATTATACAAACTAGATCTCTTGTGGAACGCAACAAAATAAATTAAAAGATTACATTTGAATCATTTCCATTCTATGTATAAAATTACAATGATATCAATCACAAAAAAAAAGGTCAAAATAAATAGATAATCACAAATCCATTATTTACAATACCAATTTTATAAATCTTGATTTATTATTTTTCATTCCAGCCGATAAAAATAATAATTTATCACGTTAATACATATTATCGCAATAACTACAAATTGGACAAACTAAATCACTTATGGAAGTTAACAAAAGAATTTAAAATATTACATTTTCATTCGATGTATAAAATGACTGATATAGTAAACAAGATAATCACAAAATCTACATTATATGATAACTGTATTTGAAAATTGCCATAAACTAGCATTTTCACGAGATAAACATAGTCTTTGGTATCTATCACATCAATTTATATTATACAAAATAATTTTTCCATATTTCTTAATGTTAAAAGATATGTGTTGCTCTTAAAAACGAGTGTGGGGATTATAAATATCCTATCACAACCATACGAAAAAACACCTTATAGAACATAAAAGAAATATACATTTCATGACTAAAAATTTATAATGTTTATTACTTATTGATTCATATCATTCAATTTATAATATTTCACAAAATAATTACAGTTCGTGCATCGCACGGGGTATGTACTTGTTGAGAGTAACTTAAAATTGAAATCTTCGAATGAAAAATTTAAAAATTCAGGCCTTATTGTGACAAAATAACAAAAAATCAAGCCCTACAATGAAATTTCCCCTTTAGTCTGTTTAAAAAATGCAAAACGTGAATTATTAATTTGTTTTGTCTTTTTTTCTTTTTAATTTATTTATGTGGAACGGCATTTAATACTAAATCTAAAGAATTATATTATTGTGCCCAAATCAAAATATCAAAATATATACTTGGTGGGCAAATATTCGTGATGGGCAAGTATTCGTGAGGGGCAAGTAATAACCGAATAAAAACCTGTCCTCACTTTTTTCACTCTTCTATATAAACTCACTCTACCCCTACAAATCCCCTCTGCAACAAAAACAGAAAATTAAAAATTAATTAAAATATGCAGATATTCGTGAAAACTCTGTCAGGCAAAACCATAACCGTCGAGGCTGGTTTTTCCGACTCCCTCGACTATGTCAAGAATGAGATTCACCTCAAGGAAGGTATTTTTTTACACCCGAATTTCACTATTTACTTCTTTTATTTATTTAACTTATTATTACTACTTTTTCTCGATAATCTGATCTAACTGCTAAAAAGTTCATCTGATTTTTGTCATATTTGTGTTTTTTTTTCTTGCTCAGGAATTCCACCAAATCAACAACGTTTGATTTTCGCCGGAAAGCAACTCGAAGATGGACACACTCTCTCTGACTATAACATTGTCAAAGGTTTTATCTACTTCCTATTTTTTAATTTTCCTTCTTATATTTATCAGTTACATATCTTTGAGATAGTTTTTCAAAATTTGTTCATACCAAGTTCTTAAGTACAATACGAGTTTATTTTTCTAATTTTTTTTTAAAACTTAATTAGTGAAAAATGCAATATTGTAGAGTCTACTTTGCATTTGGTTTTGAGGCTTAGGGGTGGCATTTTTGAACCTTCCCTCAAGGCATTGGCTCAGGAATACAAACAGAAGAAATTGATTTGTCGCAAGTAAGAGTGTTAAAAGTTTTTATCAGTTTTTTTTCAAATAATATTTGCATTTGTTTTTATTTGTGAATTGAAAAAAGATATTTCTCTTTATTATAATTAAATACTTGGTATTTATTTTGTTTTATGAACCCTATGTTTGATTTTTTCAGATGCTATGCTCGTTTGCACCCTCGTGCTATCAACTGCAGGAAGAAAAAATGTGGTCATAGCACCGATGTAATGTATTTAGTGATATATATTTTCTTTTCCTTACATAATAAATTAAATTTAACAAGTAATTTTGAGTTAGATATGTAAATTAATCTTATACTTTTGTTTTTATTTTTGTACAGTTGAGGCCGAAGTCGAAGAAGGGCAAGTACCTATGAGTATTGAGTTATATGCCTTTTGGTATTCTGAATATTTAATTAAGGACTTTATCCTTTCACAATTTAGCTTATGCCTTTTGGTATTCAAGTTAATTAAGGACTTGATCCTTTCACCATTTCGNAAATACACAAATGGCAATTCCAGTATTGGGTCAATTTACTATCTCAGACTCATTTGGCAATCGTCACGTCCTAAATCAAGCAAATCAAGAAAAATGAATCCTCCCAAATGACGTAGATGTAAAAAATGCATAAGTTCCAAAATCATGTTTTGGGTAACAATTTTTTTATTAAATACTATCACATATATAAGTTTCAAAGTTGTAAAAATCATGATAAAATCACTACCCCTACAAAATACGTCAGTGGTAACCGTTTTTATTGGAAACCATTTCAAAATTTTCAAAAATTAATCTATCAAGTATCTATGTTGGCCGTAAACCGTTCTTATTGAAATTTATTTGTTTCGATTTAGTTGAGTGAAATAACGGCATTTACACTAATATGTACCAATCCTTTTGTAATAATTAGCATTCGATATAATGATGCACAATTTGTTTTTCATGATAATTTGGCCTTGTGATTTTATCAAGAATTTAACATATGGATACCTTGTTCTAGTGTGAATAGTCGAATGGCGTTCAGAAATAAACAAATTAAAATATGTCGTTACGAATAGTTGGGAGATTTCAAAACTTTGGAGAAAATAATTTACATTAGTAAATTGAGTTTTTTACTAATAATTTATTGGTGTATTTAATGAATAAATTGACATTTAAATATAGAAGGTTTGGTTCAAAAAATTACGTTTTAAAATAGGATTGTGGATCCAAATTCTAGCAAGTCAAAAGATTATTAATACATATTTATATATTAAATGGTGCATAGATACTTGATAAAAGAGTCATGTTTATATTCGGTTAAACTGTGAGATAAGTGAGCAGGACATGGGGTAATTGAGTTTTGTGCTTTCTTGTTCTGCTTGTGTTGTTGGGGTTGTTAGCATGTTAATTTGGTGCTGGGAGTTGTGTTTTTAGCATGCCATGAATGTTGAGAAGTTTGAAAGTGAAAGCATGAATTTTGATACCTTTTTGCCTTGATTTGTTGGTTGTTTGAGCCTCAGTTTTTGTTGTGTTGACCTCGCTGAAAATGAGCTATTAATGTGTTAGTTTCAGCCACGATATATATATATATATTTCATGCCTTAGAATCAAGAGGAGAAAGTTTAAGCAAGTATGTTATGTCATTTTTTCTCTATTTGGGCTTTGTGTTTGTTGAGCCTTATTGTGGGTCTAGCATGTTATTTATGTACAAACAATGTATCAGTTTTAGAGTTGTGCGCTCAACCATTACAATAAGACCTCACAAGAAGCTTGACAAGAAAATAGAGAGAGCTTTATTACATTATTGTATTCTGAGAAGCTTGACAAGAAAATAGAGAGAGCTTTTTTCATTAATGTAATAGCTGAGCCTTATTGTGAGGTCTCGCCATATTATTTTTATTGTTATTCGTGTTTTCTCCAATGGTCTTAATCCAACTTAATGAAAAAACTCTCATTAAGTTCTGTACTTTTATGGATCTGCACAAGGTTTGGAATTGATTTCTATGAATGTGATTGTTTTGCTGCTGGAAATGTAAGTTCCAACCAATCATCCAAAAGGCTTTGTGATCCAGTTGGCAAGGAACACATGTAGCTGAGGTTAATTTCTTCCATATATGCTCCTAATGTATTTTTTCAAATGAGTTGTTTGTGAAACATTTAGTTATCTTGATAGTTATCTAGACGGAGTAAAAGTACAAATAAAAAATGAAGCGTGACATAGGTATGTGAAAGAAGATGGTGAGGAAGCGTGACATAGGTATGTGAAAAAAGTAATAACTTGAGGCCTTGTTGTGATTCTAGATTTTTTTTAAATAAAAAATATAAAGCCAAATGTCAAGGACAGTTCTATACTACGTCCCAATTTTTTTTTATATTTAAATTAATTCTTATTGAAGTCCTATCCAGAAATTATTTTATCATTGCTTTAGGCTTAAGTTGTATTTGTTATACTAGAAGGCTTTTCTGTGAAGACCTCTTGTATCATGTCATTGAGGTTCATTACATTCACTTGAAGGCTCGTTCAAGTAACTTGTTGATCTTTTTTCAACTTTAGGATCTAATTCGAATGGGCCCCTGTTGTTGTTCTCTGAGTCGTTTTCCTATTGTTGTATGTCAGAAAGAAGTTTTGGTGATGCTACCATTTGATGGAGCTACTTCTGTCTTTGAGTATTCTATGCACTATCCAAGTTGGAATTGGAGATCAATGCAAGACGATATCAAGAAATGGTTCTGCTGAGAGTTAATCAAGCAATAACGAAGCAAATACATTTGGGCAAGAAAGGATTACCAACTCTACAGCCCTCGACTAGCATCAACGAGCTCAAAATGTTTGGTTTTCGTTCTCTGTCCATTGTTCAAGTACACCCTTAAAAAACCGAGCATCTAGAAACATAATTGCAACTTGGGACATGTATTATTTTCAATGATAATTTGATCCTTTATACGAACGCTAATTTTTAGATTATAATGTACTCAGGCAATCGAGGCACTCGATCCAAATCATGAGTGCACGGAGTATTGGAAAAAACAAGCTGCTGAACAAGAAATCGATGTCAAGTTCAGAAGATAAATTAGGAGCTAATCAGAAGAGGTTAAAGGAACGCAAGAATGAAAGATTACAACGATTTTAAAATGCCGAAAGATTTTTTTTTAAAAACTTTTTTAGGTGCTGAAGCCTTGGTATATTAGACTTTGTTTTTTAGAGTAGATGTTAGTGATGGAAATTTTAGAGCAGATGTCAGTGTTGGTTTTTTTTTGTTTCCTTGAATAGGCCTTCATTTGAAACATCATATTCTTGCACAAACTCTAACTGTAATAAGTGGTTTACATAAGAGTCTGAGTTCATATTCTCTTGCACTTTAGTTTCTGTATCTTGTCTCTGTGTGTATATTGTTCTGTACTGTCTGTTCATTTTGGAAATATGCAAATGTATGAACTGATTTTTTTGCTCATTTTGTTAATGTTTTATGTTTCTTTTATAATGCAAATGCATTTCAAGAAATAAAATACTTATGAATACCAATAAAAATTTTCCTGTAACGTTGGTGCTTAAATTGAAACCAAGAATTGCCAACTTCTACCCATAACAAAATAAAACAATGCTCAACTCAGAATAAAAGTACAAAAAAAAAAGCTAAACTTTGAATTGAAGCGGAGCAAGAAACAAGAAACAGGTTTCTTGAGGAATAAATTTGTTTCTTGAGGAAACTTGTTTCTTGCTCGAGAAATTTGTTTCTTGTTCAAGAAACCAGTCCAATTTATTCCTCAAGAAACATGTTTCTTGCCCAAGAAACTTATTTCTTGAGCAAGAAACCTGCAAGAAATCTGTTTCTTGTTCAAGAAACCAGTCCAATTTATTCCTCAAGAAACAAGTTTCTGGGCAAGAAACCTGTTTCTTGAGCTGCTCAAGAAGCAGGTTTCTTGCTGCTCAAAAAAACCTATTTGTTGACAGATTTGTATTTATGTTTTTTTATGTTTAAAATTTTAAATAAGTAGAAACTGTATAAAAAAATAATATTAATTAATTGTTTCATGATTTTAGGGTGATGGTTGGATTTGGAGATGGCAGAGAGGTCGCAAGTGGAGTGGTAAAGTAACATTTTCTTAAAGAAATAATTTGTATAAAATTAGAAGAAACATTTTCTCATGCGAAAGGCACGAAAAAACAAATTATTGAATCAAAGCTCAACCTGTTGTTCACAAACTCAAATAAAATGGGAAACTGCATCTACCATCCAATAATTACACAAACACATAACATTAAGATTAAATACAGAGATGAGTATCCGATACATACATGCACACATTTTTTAAATTCCAACAACAACATTTTCTGCTCTCGATAAACAAGCATCGATGAACCAAAATCCAGTTCGATTTCAAATCATAAGTCATCAAACATGGTGAAGAGTACTAATCCCCGTACAAATTCGCACATCCTTTAGCAATAGCTACACCCTCTTATGGTCCTCTCACCAGTCCAGTCTGTTGATGAAGTAGTCTGTATTCTGCAAACATCATAACAAGCAATGGTAACTTGCTAACAGCATAGATTTACAAGCACGGAAATATTTGAGATTTTTCGTTTGGCATGTTTCTAGCTCGGTTAAATCACGTGACATGTTATCTGACTAGGAACACGACATATATGGTGCACAATTTGAGTGAAGGCCACACCACTTCCCTAACCAGCCTAATGAGCAGCGCACAATCCAACCGACCGGAGAAAATTTATTGTGCGTACCTGTCCAACAAATCGCCATTGCTACATTCAACAGATAAGCTTACTTGATTCAAAACATTATCCTGATTGGTTTGAGGTCCGTGAGCATGACTCGGGCTATTGATGAATGACATAAGCTTGGAGTCAGATGGCAGCATTCGATGAAGAAGAATCAACAGAATGAAACTTATTGACATTAGTTACATAAGTGCTTGGCCTGTAAATATTTTCTCAAAACCAATAGTGTCAAACGGGAACGAGCACTACTATTCTTCTTGTTGCAGAGAGAGTAAGCTTGAGTTAAGTTAGAAATAAATGCAATCTCTCATCTAAACCATATTCCGGCTAAAAAAAATTAAAATAGATGACAACAAAATACGCGCAATAGTAAGATGAATCATTTTGCATAAATATTTGAAGGATATTTTTAGAACAACCTCGTGCTGCGTTATTACATGAGAAGCCATGTTTAGACACTCCAAAATAAAATCAACCTCGTGCTGCGTGATTACATGAGAAGCCATGTTTAGACACCTCAAAACCAAATCAATCTCTATAAAGAACACTCCAATTGTTCAGACAATTTAACCAAAGGTCCCTCATTTATAAGTTTGGAAGCACCTTGCAAACAATCAAGACACTTAAATTGTTCAATTAGGAATTCACAGCTACAA